TTACATGTTCATTCATATTAAAGTTTTAGAATGATGTAAACCAGCAAGAGGAAAGAGGAAGGGGGGAAAAAACAAATATGATTTAAGTATGCATTAGGAAAATTTTATTTTATAAATGTTACCTAGCCATATCATGTTTCAGTAGATTTTGGCTCATTTTGAGTCGGAGGTGATACCGGTTCGTGATGCTCCTCTAGAGGCTGCATCTCTGTTTTCTTCTTGTTCTCTTTCTGGATCACTTGCCTTGGCATTACCTCAAGTAAAAAGCTCCCTCCGTTCCACACTGCCGCTGAAATCTTCAGGATCTGAAAGATCACGTGAAGTCTATAAGATAGGAAGATCGGTACAGTCAATGCCATGGTCGCCACCGTGAAGATGCCCTGGTAGAGGATGTACATCCATATACGGTTCTGATCCCCTAGAAGACCGCTCAGCTGCCACAACTTATTGTTTGCCTTTTGAGCTTTCTTCGACAGCTCTCTGCAGACCAAAAGATTTCATCAGGACAAGTTGAGTCTACCATAAGAAAAAACACATTACTTTGTTTGTTGCCTAAAACCATGAAACATTCACACGGACTAGCACTTTAAAATCGGAGTGTGAATCATCTTACTGTTTGTCAACACATATACTATCATGGTGAATTGGTGATGATCTGATTCAACATAATCTCAGACCATAAGCGGGTGTAATTGGTAACCTTGCGGAATGACCAAATATTGGAATGATTCAGCAATTCTGCAGGTTTTCACCAATCAGATTTTTTTTTGCGGAATAGTATTTTAGAATCATATCACAATTCCAAGAGGTTAATGACAAACAAATTATTGAGCCATTGCGCAACAAATCTAAAGGACCTATAATTTTGCCAGTAATTTGATCAAGCGCTCGACTTCTAAAGAATATTAATCTATGGCATAGACCAGTGCAATCTCAGTAAAAATACAAGAGATGGATGCAACACGAATGATACCTGTATGAAGTCATAACTTCAGGGTCTCTGAGGAGTCTCTGCCTACGCAGGACATTAACGATTAGAAAATAGAGCACTTGCCAAAGAGTATAAACCACCAAGGGGATAAGAAACAGCCATGTAAAGAGGTAAGATTTGTCTTCCACATAAGGCCATGAAGCCCTACGATCAGTGCCTACAGGGTGCATAGCTGCAAAGGTCGCTGGATTCCACCACCTAATCGTGAAGAACACGAGCCCTGAAACCAAAGTTGTCATTGCGAGACAAAAGAATCC